ATTACAAAGTTCTTTCTCCCATTATGAACAAATGAGATTTCTTGACAATCTCGAAAAGATAGCTCCGTAAGTATTAATTTACATTGTTTTTAACTGAAATTTTACAAACATTCAAATTGTGTGGTATGGAATTTAATAATTTTTAAACTCGTTTTTATTTCAGAACTGCCAGCTCCATCCAGCATCTTTTAGAAATGCCTTCATCCCATGTTGATGTGCAAATGGATACTATTCAAGAGGATAACTTGAGTGATTTTGACGATTCCGTAATGAATTCTGCATACTCACCATCAGAAGCATCACAAATATCATCATGTCCCTCATCGGCACGGGCTAAAAAGTACAGTAGTAAGTAATAATATTTTTATTTCAAAATTGAAAAAACAAGATATGGAGCTACGAACTAATCAAGATCTTAATGCTAAAATATTAAACATTTATTGTTTAACATTTTAGCATTAAAGACCTTGCTTGGCTCATAATCCTATATCTTGTTTTTTTTAATTTTCCCTTGATTTTGTATTTTTTTAAGGCATATGTATACGCATATATATTAATTACAGATGTGCAAAAGCAAACTGAAATTGAAAAGAAATTTCTAAATATGATTGATGAAGAATTGTCGCAGAAAAAACGTGATATAGTTGACAGTTATTTAGAACAGCTTGGCGATATACTACGCTGATTGCCCTATATACGACGCAGAAACCTGCAAAGAAAAATCCTCGATATTGCTATAGAAGAAGAGGATGCCATATTTGTGGAGAGGGAGAATGCTAATTAGAAATATTTTATTAATATTATAAATTTTTAATTGTCGTGTATTACTGCAAAAAATAAAATATACTTTTCCATTTAGTTTATTACATAATATTTCAAGTCGTTACATAATATTTATCATAATTCACTACATAATGTTTCAAAAGTCGTTACTTAAAACTTTATCCCATTGCCACGGTAGAGGATTGATATGCTCAAAATAATAAGTGAGTGTCTTGAATTTTTATTGCTGCAGACTTTCGTGAAGAATTTGTATAACTTGCACGTCTAAGCCCGTAACTTGTAGCCAAAATTCCACGTTCTTCTTCTCGTATGTTACAATATCTTCTTTTTGCAAGTGGTAATTCTAGTTCTTTATTATATATAAAATTATGCAAGACAATTGTT